TATATATGTTGTATGAATATTTGTAGAATATTAGAATATTGAATATATATATAAATTATATTATATTTTTATAAAGGGTGTCTGGCTCTTCGCTTTTAGGAGTCTATACATACACACACATATACATATATATATACATACTACTTCCATACATACATACATATTCACATTTCATACATACATACGTATGTACATATATACATTCATACCTGTGCTATATGCATAAACATACATATCTATTTGCATACCCATGTGTACATACATCGATACGTATATATTTGTATATATTATACATATATATATGTACATATATGTATATATGTATATATGTATATAAATATACATATACACCCACGTGTACATACACACACATGGACATAATGTATGCCTACATCAACTGTGTATGTACTCACACTCGCAGCCACAAACCCGCATATATATATATATATATATATTATAAATATAGATCTATATTATGTATACACACACCTACTCACTCACTCACATACATACTCGCACTCACGCTCACCGGCACACGCGCACGCAAATATACTATATATGTACAAGTGATTATGTATATATATATATATATATATTATTCCTTTACTCATATTCATGTATATATATATATATTCATATATTCATGTACTCATTTGCATATATATATACCGCATACTATTTATATTATTGTAAGTCTTGATTTCGAGAGAGAGCGTTAGAAGCTAACGTTGTGCGTCAGTTATCATCGGGCGAGTTGACGTGATATGTGCGAGTCGTGTCCGATCAATGTGGGCAAAACTTGGTTTTGAATTTATTTTGTTGTTCAAGTGTTAATGACGGCTTTCGTTCACTGTCAGATCGCACTGAATATGGTGCTCACAGACCTAGGCTATGAGGATAATGACGCGCTGGAGGCGTCAATAAATGGATCTTTCGATGACTTCATCAAGAAATTGCCTCATATCGAATATAAAATTCAAGACGATGGTGGTGTCAATGACGGTCAGTTGGTGTTCCGACTGAAATTAAAATTGCAAGACACAACGGAGAAAGTGCCCAGAAAACACGAATTTAAAATCACTAGCAGAGACGATATGTGGCGAACCTGTTTGAAGGTGAGTGTTCGACCCATTTGAATTTTTTTGTATAAATTGTGGTCAAGTTGATTCCAGTGGGTTTGTACCACATGTGTGAGATACAACCCTCACATTGGTTCTGCTTTTTATAAAAGTAAAGAGGTATTCTGCCACAGAATACAGGGCATGGCCTCCCTGTCTGGGTGCCATATACTGCTGTACTTCATAGAGCTTCAATGGATTGATTGGCAGCAAACGATAACGTTTTTCTGAATTGAATATTAATCGGACATTTCCATTTTGTCCGTATTTACAGGCGAGGGACTCCAAAATTGTCGTGAAAGAGCTGGAATTCGAGATTGGGGCGGACGCGAAACGATCCATCGACACAGTATATAACTTTATTGGTGACGCGGTTTTCAAACTAAGTGTGCATGCTAGCCAGGCTGGAGAGTTCCTGGGAGAGGAGACGAGGTATGCGACTGATTATTTACAGTTAGATGCCGATTGATCTTCATTTTGAAATTTGATGTGTCTTAAACACTTCGTCCACACAAATCCAAACACACACACACACACACACACACACACACACACATATATATATATATATATTCTATATATATTATACATAGTATATATATATATATAATATATATATATATATACTA